TTATTTGTGTTAATTTTACTAAAGGATTACTTGTGTTGTGCGTCAAATAAATGCTGACTCATTAATTCCCAAATGTATCCTCCACAAATGCCATCATTTCCACTTATACAATGTTTGTGAATGTGTCTTTTGAGCAGCCAGAGAACGCATGGTGTGTGACCCATTGTGTTCAGATGACGGGTGTTGGGGTCCTGGTCCAGACCAGTGCCTGTCCTGCCGCTACTTTATCCGTGGAAGAACCTGTGTGGATTCTTGCAACCTTTATGAAGGGTAAGTAARGCAGCACATTCATAGAAACAGAGGATCAACACTGGTGTAACAGAAGAACGAAGAGTATATGGAAAAGGGGTGATTGGGTACATAGATTCAGACTGTGTGTGTGGCAGTGAAAAAAAAAAAAAAAAAACAAGCTTGTACTGTATTATCTTCTCAGAAATCCAGAGACAATGATAGCTGAATATAGGAAAACTCTACCGGTATTTACTTTTTTTTTAGCCCTGTGTGATCCAGGTCATCACTTCTCAGCAAAGTACACAAACTCTGAGGATTAAAATACATTGTCATGGTTTGCAAATAATACAGAAAAAATGTGCTCTACCTAAATATACACATTCCTTTTTCTTGAGACAAAAATGTTGGGGTTTAATAAAACTTACTATATATTTGTGATTTTTWAAAAAAAAAATGTTTACAAAGTGCAATGTTGTTGTTTCACCTGTCTTGATAAAAAAATATTGTATTTGAAACAACACTTCTGAGCTTTTACTTATAAACCTTTCTTGGTTTTATCAAAAATAATTGTCTAACTTTGTATGACCAAAAAAAAATTACAATAGCTGAATGAGTATGATCCTAACATGGCAACATTCTTGCACAGTTAAAAAATAAGCACACATAAGCCAGAAAAAAAAAAAAACTTATTTTTTCTAATGTCTTAATTAACCTGTTTTGTCATTCTTAATTTTGCCTTAGTGTTACCACAAACTAAATCTGCAAGTTCATTCACAGAAACTCAGTTGGGACAGGTGTACTTCGGACATGAGTGTAAAGAGTTATACAAAATACTGTTTGTAAAAATAAGTAACTCCATATACACAGAACATTGTCATACTAATTTGACAAAATATACGGATATAACAAAAATTAATAAATATTGCTTTCTAGTAATAATTAATTATTTGAATGATTCTAAATACTGTTATTTTTTTCTATGTTTTTAGCTAATTAAATTTGTTGTTAAGAAACCACAGATATGTTGCCACCTCCCAGTTTGTCTGCTGCATTATGTATGGTCAGCCACAAACTTCAGACACACAGTGTGGAGCTTCAGCAGTAGAARATGTTTGTCAAGGTGCTATGGTAACTGAAACAGGCTTTTGGAGTGATAGACAGGAAAGAAAAAAAATCAACTAGAAGTGTAAAAGAAAATATGACACTCAAGCCAATGCCAAGAGCAAATCAAAGCTACTTCACCAGCATGAACACGAGCAAGCATGCATTTCTTGATTAGAAAAAAAGCGAAACATTGCTGATTTTTTATGTTCTTGTTGTAAAACAGAAAGACTGAAAACTCCTTATTTTATCTTATTTTATTTTGTTTTACTTGTTGCTTTTCCAAACATAATAAACCATATATACAGTACCACGTGTAAACCTTTCAGTAAGTTTACCTTTAATACTGTATATAAACAGTCTGGGAATTAAATGAATCACAATAATTTGAACTGTCATGTCATATGTGGACTTATTAAATATATATTTTAAAAAAATCACAATGACATTTGTCTTTTTGGCAACAAGGATCACCAAGAGAAATGTAACTAAATTAGTCCTTCCATATATGAGTTTAAATGAAAAAGACAAAATATTTTTCCCAGTTTTTTGGAGAACATGAGCTGTACCACCTGTTAAGTTTCCAAGCTCAAAGTGTTCTGTTAAAGTTTTCAAGTGCAATTTTATTTTACTTGTTAAAAAGACATCACATTAGGAGCCACTGGGTGTAAAGAACAATTCAAACAGGTTCTGTAACAAAAGGCACCCCTGTAGAGTCTTATAAAGTCAGGAGTCCCCTGATGTTTTCTTTTTAATACAAAAACTGAAAAAAAAACTGCACCCTAGAGAGTTTTGTTAATGATATTTTGAAATTCTTTATATATTTCTAAACATATATCTACTCAGATTTTCAGAAAAAATAAATATTATATTTACTTAACTTAATCACACATGATAGGTGGCTGCAATGGAGAAGAGAAAGGACAACCCACTGTCAGGACAGGAGGGCTAGGCGTGTCACTGCGTGTCACAGTTATTGCTTGCGCACGGGGCCACGCCCTGCCTACCTGTTCACCTCCACAACAGCACCACTCATTTTGTTTGAGTGTCGCCTGCACCACTGGTTTTGTCAGCCACCAAATCTTGGGTTTACCTTTAGTTTGTTTGTTTTCCTTATATTTTTTTGAGTTATTGGACAGCATGTGCACAGTAACCCTACCATAACCAGCAACAAAATGTGCAGAACATCTACRAAAGTAAATCTTCCTGGAATATATTATGTATGCATAGAGAAGGTCAATATTTATCTGACTAATTGCATATGTGTTTTCTGAATGTTTAATTATGTTTTTATTCATTTTGACATGTTTAAAATGTCATAAATAATCAATGTTGTGTAGTTTTTTTTAAATGTTTTTATATGTTTTTGTTTCTATGATGCAGTTTTGGAAACTTTTGAAAAGCACTTTACAGAAAGTACAAATAAATAAGTAATACTGCTCACAATTCAATATAGATTTTCTTTCTCTTCTTTTTAATGTACTTCTTTGATTTCAGTCTAACAGAAGCTCAGCAAGGGTTGACTATCAACAGAATCCATTTTCTTTATTTCTTTATTTTTGTGTTACTTTTTTAGTTACTTCTCAACACAGTTTATAGCCTAACTTGTGTTTAAAAATGCCAGGCATGCAGACTTATTTTGTTGTTGTGAATGTGCAGGTTTAAAGACATTATTTGTCTGAAAACATTTTAGCTTGAACWGTACAATGTAATTCATGTACTCATTTGGTAACCATGTTATTTGAATTAGTGTGTCTGTAAGGAGACAGATCCTTTCCATGTGCCTTTGATGGCAGTGTATGTGATATTACACTTTACATCACAGGAAAACACAATGTTTCCTTGAAAGCTACATTTCATACATGAATTTCATGTTTTTGCAAAGTTTGGACTAGATCAAACCGTTTCAGAATCCATTTTTTTACATTATTTCTTTGGATCTATTGCAAATTTATTGCATCATCATTGTTCTTAAATAAATAGAAAATACAAGAAAACTGAACACAGCAATAGCTTGTAATTCTAAAAGCATTGATGATGTTTTTATTTATTTATTTATTTATTTATTTGTGTGTTGTTTTCATTGCAGGCTTTGATATTTTAAGCTGCACTCATAGAGACAAAGCATTTTACCTTGCATGGCTTTTTGAAGGTTTTGCGAAGGCCAGATGAAGCATAATTAATATTAATTTGATTTTATTTCCACTGGGACAGCAACATTTTGTTCATCTTTGCTGTTTTTCCTCACTGAGCAAAAGACAAAAAACYCCAGTTTAATTTTCTGTCTCCTGTACTAACAAAGCAAAGTGCCAACTCAGATGCAGTGTGGTCAAATTTACTGACTTTTTAGAGGCCACTCTGCTGCTCCCTATTAAAAATAAATTTAAAAAATCAAAAAAAGATTGCAGAAATTGAATAATGCCCCACTTAATTTAATTGATTTTGAAAATGTTGCACCCCTTGAAGGCCCTGCATCTCTCAACTGTGTCGACCCACTGAGTTATAAATCTTCAAACTCTCTTGAACCGTCCACAATGTTGTTAATAAGGAGTCGGCATAAGTTGTCTAAAACGTGTAACGTCATGAAAAAGGGTTATTGAAATTTAAAACCTAATTGAAATGTATTACCTTCAATGATAAACTACTCTTATATTTGGTAAAATGTGAAATACTTTGCTCTGAGATTTACCAGAACTGAAAAAAACTGAACTCAAAGGTTAAGCTGTAATTTGAAACATTCTTTGATTTACTTTTACAAGGACTGACAGAAAGAAAATGTTCTGTTTTCATGTTTTTTTTTTTTTTGCTTGATTATATTCTCTTGTAAACTTATATCAATAAAAGTGTTGATCACTACAGTGTGTTTTTTTTCTTACTGTGTAACCATTTTTGTATTTTTTTTCAGCTTTGTTATTGTCAACTAATCTATGGAATCTGACATTAATGTTCCGCTTTCYGTTTCTTCCACTTCTTATTTCTTTTTCGTTTGGTTCTCTCTCAGGGACATCCGAGAGTATGCCAACGGTTCAGTGTGTGTGGATTGTGATGCACAGTGCGAACGAGCAGATGATGACTCTTTGACCTGCCACGGCCCGGTAAGCTCACTCCAACWGATAAGATTATAGAGGTGAAGACATGCAGTCATTCCACATGTTTCCACCTCATAAACCCTGACTGTGTTGGCTGCATGGTTGCTGACTGCATTGTTTCTGTTGCATTAAAATGATTCCTGGCCATGATTTTTTGCTTGGTAGTTCAGCTGTTTTAGTTTGTTCAATTTGTTTATTTTTTTCTAACTGCCTCTTTTGATTGGTGCAGAGCCTATGAGGGATCATGGGTAATTTTCTTTTCTTTTGCATTCCCTCACAAAAGTTATATATTATCTTGATATTTTGTAAAAGCAGCATACATGACAGCATAAATTGACTTGTTCTTGTTCTGTCYTTATTCAAGATGATCTGTTGTAATTCAGTATTTTTATTCACTAATGGCAAGCCTAAAAACCTTTAGTGAGAGTGTGGTTGTTGTGGAATAGCTGATGAGTGGTACCAGCCTGTTCATRGTTAGCCTGATAAAAACCAGACCCTTGTCCTTCACTTTGCTTTGAAGGAGGGACTGGTCTCACTGCTATAGAGAAGCAATTCTTGCTGAAGGCGTGGCCTCTGCTGAAGTGTATGGGATGTGAACACTCACCGGCCACTTTATTAGGTAGACCTGTCCAACTGCTCGTTAACACTTAATTTCTAATCAGCCAATCACATGGCGGCAACTCAGTGCATTTAGGCATGTAGACATGGTCAAGACAATCTCCT